GCACTTTACTTACGGTGCCTACTGTTCGCTTGACTCAATTATCTATCTATCGCTGGCTTTCTTTGCCAGGCTTATATATACTAAAAAAATAGGGCATCTAGATCACACTCGAGCTGGTGGGCAAATGCATGATCCGTCGAGAAACTCCAGCACATGTGCTCCCAGCGTTGCGTGACTTCCGTTGTCGTAACAATTCATTTTTGAAGCAGCTTCTTTTAAGTAACTCAAGTACAAAAATTTCTTGAGTGGACAGGAGAGAGTTACACACATAATCTAATCATTGACAGATTCAAAAAGATAATTATTTGAATGTAAGTCTAAAATAGGAGCAGGCACCCACTAACTAATTGAATGTGCATGTGGTTAGTCTATCGGATTGACCTCATAATCTTGACTATAATTCCGAGTTATATTGGTTCACTCAAATTTCAAATAATTGTAAATAAAATAGTTTAGGTATTACATTAATAAGTTTCACATTTTGAATTTCTAATAATATTTTTACAATATTTTTTATTTTGTCGTTTAACTGACTTTAGTTTTCAAAATCAAAATGTTTATTCATAATTGTACAATGTGTTTAACTTCAATCATTAGCTGAATGTAAAATGTTTAAAAATCCTAAATCAAATTAAATTCTTTTACAATATCTGACTCGTAGAACTTTTTAAGATACTCCATAGACACTAGACTCCTATCACAAATTAAAAAAATTATTTCTTAAGGAAATGTAAATATAAATGAAAAACATATTTAATTTCTGCAAATTGTAGGCAAGAATTTCAGAAAGTCCTGCCATACTGTTTGCCATATGTTGAAATTTTATAGTGGTTTCTGAAAATGAAAAAGTATAGAACTGAGGGGATCATCACATAACTACAGTTTAAGTATCTCTTAACTAAACTTTTAATTAACACAGAGTAAAAGCTAAGTTTTTCTCATTTTGGGTTTGTGGTATTTGAAATGTCCTTTTTTAGCCACAATGTAATCAATACTGTATAGAATGAGATTATTTCTGACACTATAGATATGTACTATACTTTAACCTTTAAAGAAATACAGTAATATCTTTAAATTTGTTCTTGTTCATGATTAATGATGAGAGCTGGGTTTCCTTTAGAACGAGCTTAGCTCAGTATCATGTTACATACGGAAGAACTAATAGGGATTTAAGAGTTTCTTGGATCAACTTGAATAATTTCAATGTTGAAGTAAAACTATAAACTTTTCACCTTCTGTATGCCAGTATATGTTTTGATTTGTTTCCATTTTGCACTGCAATTCCCAGTGTAAACCTCATAAAAATTTATATATTCATGAGGAAAATTAAAATAATAAAATTAGAAAAATAAAACTTGGCTCACATTTAACCTAGGTAGCCGCTTCAGAATCTCCAGCACTATGTAGCAGCCTATGGAATGTCCAATTAGAATAAGCTGTCTGTCTCGAGGAACACAAGTGTTCAAAAAGACCATCTTGTGTCTGACCTGACCTTCCAAGGAATACAGGTATTCATTTTCTAAATTGGAAATATGACCTATTATAACACCAGTTCCTCATATTTCATAAATGTCACAGTTTTATGGAAAAAGTGCAGAAGTTTTAGCTTAATACAAAGACCTCTTAGCTCAAGTATTTTTGATGACTGGTCATCCTTCTTTCAAATTTGGAAGGAGTTGTAAATGTGAAAACATTTTTGTTTCGATATACACAAACGTACACACACAAAAAGTTGTTAATCAAAGTGATAATTAAAAATATAAATAGAATAAAGAAACATTATTATTTTTTTGTATATGGTGTTACTTATGGGTAAAAACTAATAGCACAATTAATATACCACATCAACATTTTGTCTTTCTTAGCTTGCCTGGATCAGTCTACAAATTAGACCAGCAAGAAACCCATCTTTTACCTGAAGCTCATATGAAAAGTACATAATATTCTAATAAACAGAGTTAAAAATGTATATAGATGTACTAATTATTTGAAAAATATCATTTGCATCATGAAGCAATTCATAAAAGTCCAGTGATGAGAAGAATGTTTTCTTTGTTTTTCTAGCTGTTACAGGATTTATTTTCGCTAATGATGACATCTTGCACATGTGACATGAGAATTGGCCAACAAAGTTAAAATGTACATTAACAATTTTTTTTACTATTAAAATAAAAATACCTATTCTTACACCAATTATTCAAAGATGGCATGTCTGAATGTTTCCATCATATTTTCTTTACCTAAATAAACCTTAGGCAAATAATGCATTAATTATGAGATACAAAGAAGTTTATGAGTTTATAGTACATATAATATCAAAAAAGAGGAATGCTTTACCAAATGGTTTAACAGAAACCTGAGACTTTTATATCGATATAAGAGGACATCAGCTTAAGGCCACAATTATGAAGTAAGTTGAAGTCCTTTGACAATATCTGTTTTACATTATATACACCTCATATATGATACTCATTAATAAACTTGTATATGTAATCACACTTAAGTAAAGATTCAAGGTTTTGAGAAGAAAAACATTTACAACAATTCAAAGCCAATTAAAACACTATTTTGAATCATTTAGTTACACTGTTTTCATTGTTATGTTGATGTATTCGTAATAAAAAGTTATTTAAAATAAATGGTATAACCATTAAAACTGTACAGGAAAATTAATTACAATAAAATTAATTAGCAGAACAAAACTATAGAGTCATATTTTTCAATGGTGATAAATAATAATAAGCAGAGATATTTCACTTATTTCCTTACTGTTATAACCATTATAATCATCCATATTTTCTGCCCAATAAAAACGCCTAAATTAATTACAATATTTACCACTGAACTTTGGCAATTTCACTGGAGGAGGTGGAGCTGTATGACCAGCATGGGAGATACCCCAAATTGGAACAGCCCGCTGTAGACCTTCATACAAGGCACACATGAACTCTTCATAGTGTTCAATCGCACCTGGATTACCTATATTTTAAACATAAAATATAGAATATGCACGAATACTCACAACTTAATATAAAGGAATTAACTTACAAAATTCTAACTTTTACCATGTTTCTTGGAACTGTTTTTTTATATCAGCATGTGTACAAAATGTATGCTTTTCTGGGACTCACCTCCTTTCCCTGTGAAAGCATACACAAAAGTGGCAAAGTGTTTTAAAGAGATATTATTGGATATTAGTTGACTATTATAAGACAAATAGTATTTACGTCAACATTTGGAATTCAAAACATGGTTAAAACCAAAGACTATTCATTCTTACGCGCTCGTGGGATTGGACATAAATACACCTGTGGTAGCTATAAAGCTACCTATGTTGGTAAAACTGCACGTCACATACAAATTGTGTACCCGAGCTGGTGGAAATTTCAGCAAGAAGCAGATGTAAACTAAGTAATCCAGGTAAGACTTGTATCTGAATGCATTGTGAGAATAACAACCACCTCATACTTCTAGTAATGTTTCAATAATAAGGTTTGAAAGTGTCATACTTGCGGTGAAGGATTCATTCTACTATATCAGTCATGTTACTTTGTAACTAATAATTCCAGTATTGTAGCCTACAGTAAATTTTTTTTTTCATTATAAAATTCTTTATATATTTTTTCAGAACTCTTAAAAGTCCAAAATAGATGTTTTATGAAATATATAGTTTCAGTAAATTTGCCTTGTCTTTAATTGTATGAAAAGCCTCAAACATGTTAGATGCTGAAATTATCCTAGATGGCACTCTGATTTAATTCAAGCATTTATACTGTATTTTTTATTTCACATGTGAGTAAAACTTTCAATTTCTTTCAAAAAAAGTGCATTTTCCAAACAATTAGCAAAAACAACAACAATTTTAAATCAGAAGTAAGGATTTATGAAAAAGTTTCACAGATTAAACCTCTACATATTAAAATAGATAAATTCATGTCAGTATAATATATTTTACATTTTTGTATGTCCTGAGAATTGTACTTTGGTAATACAAGCAATATTCTGTCTTTTAAAGCTATTCAAATTATGGTTTTAAACAGTTAATATTGACAAATTTTAAAACAATTTAAAAAAAATTAAAAACATAAAAACAAATTTTTCTGGATAAAACAACAACGTCTTAAAGTAATTAATAATGCTAACATTAAAATACTTGAGTGATATTTAATTTCAACAATCTAAACACATAACACCCATAATAAATGTCACAAATTGACAAAATCACATTCTTTATTTATCTAGTTCTATGATAATTCAGTGTGACATGAATTTTAATCATTGTAGTTTATCAAATGGCAAAAGAGTGATATATAATGTTGAACATGATAATTATGTCTACTTGTTAGTTAAATATACACCTTGTTCTACAGAGGTGTGTGTCTATTTGTAATTTAATTCCTTTTTATAGTTATTGTACATTTTTAAATGTTATTCTTGTTTCAACAACATAATTCTTCATGGAAAACATTATCTATTCATACCTATAAATTTTCAAATAGCACTCCAAATTAAAAAGAAATAATGAAATATGAGTACAGTAATTATAAATTCAACTGGGTTATTAAACATCAGCATAAATTGTTAAAATTTGCTTTTACAAAATATTGAACAAAGCAAAATTATGCTGTACATTTATATTATACGGAAATTGTGTTAAATAAAAATACAAGTATTGCTGAACACTTAGATGCATGTCAACTCAGAAATTTGTGGCATATCAGTTGTACAGGTATGTCACTTTGCCTATTGCCTTTTGTTTTGAATTTATTATAATGCATTGGTTCACTGCCTGTGTCTTATTGTTTTTGGGTACAATGCTTTGTTGTCTTTTTCTAAAAACTGGGTACACTACAAGTACTTAGAAATGAATTTTCTAGTACAAAAAATAACACACATGCATATATATATATATATATATATATAAATAAATCAAATCTCTAAGTACAGTGTATAACAGATGTAACATTAGAACTGGGATCAAGTATAATCCAGATAATTCTAGTTAACACAATTTCATAGCCAAAGATACACTGACCTGGAATGAAAATAATCAGGATTTGTTTTGAGTCATCTTCTGGAAGAGGTTCATCTAGCCAACGACCACATGTCAGCACACTTGTTGGCACCCCATTGACTGTAACAAATCCATGCCTGAGAAACTTTAAGTCATTAGCTGAGGAATACACAATATCAGAGCATTCCTCTGGAGCCTTCTCAGCCATCTGTAGAAAATAACCTTGTAATTGTAAGATGAAATTTAATGCGATATTACACATAGTATTACTTTAGCTTTTCATACGGTCATATCAAGTCACAAGTATTACACTTTGCATTATTCGCTTTGGTCCTTCTCCCTTCACCAAAAATAAACCCCCATTTATATGCTACTACTATTTGTATAAGGTTCTTGTCACATGAAAATATTTGTATCATATTTCTATTTTGATGTTTTGGCATCTATGCTGTTGTCACTTTTTTTTTCAACAGGTGGATGCAGTCCATTTAAGTTCTCAAACATACTATGTACACTCTGCCTAAAGTTCAACTGAAACAACAGGTTTTTATTTCCGCTACATGCAGACAAAAGGTATCACATGGCTCCAAGTGCATAAGGGTAAATTTTCCCCAAAGTTATAATTTTCCTATGCTGAAAATGTATTTCCAATAGGTACTTACCTTCACCCACAAGATTAGCTATTATCATTCAGTGCTGCCATCTATATGCAAACTTTTTCTTTACACATACCACAAGCCTTCCACTCCCCCCCTCGCTGTTGGAATTACTATATTCCAACATGTTTTTCATGTAAATCATCGTGCGTCATCTATTAACTAATAGTAGCATGATATACTCATGTGCTGCATGGACTTCCTCTACACTCCTCTACCAAACCTTCACTTCGAAGTTTGGCAGAAAGTGTGAGCACTGGAGAAGAGAGGAGGAAGGGTGGAAGAGGTAAGTACCTATCGGAAATACATTTTCAATATAGGAAAATTATAACTTCCAATACGGTACTTACCTAGAACTTACTTAGCTAAAATACCATACTGAGGAGGAGGAGGGACTGGTGCAAGGGAACAAAGAAGTACCCTTGAAATCATCTGAAGGATACCCCTGAAAATGAGATAGATAGATATGAAGATCAGAAGAGAAAAAACTGCACCACTTATTAACCAGGTATACTCTTCGCCCATGTGTGGAATGTGTAAGACATAAGGAATTGAGAGGTGTAGAGTTGCTAGAGTGCAGCGGACCATACTTCGTAAGTCAACTACATTCAAAACCTCCTTGTGGGGTACCGACACCCATGCGAGGGTAGGATGAGGATCATACAATCTTCACCTCAAACTCAAGAATCGGGGATTATGACCTGCACCGATTTCTGGGTACGACATGAGGATCACCGCTGATCTATCGATCCAGGAATTGACATCTGGTATCGAAAAAATGTCAATCACATGGATTCAACTCATGTGAGGACTTATGGTGATTGGTTCACTCTAATCCAAAATCTCTTAGCAAGTACCAACATCCATGTGAGGGCAGGATGAGGTTTCCCAATCGAAGGGATGAACTGCAAATTTTATGGCTCAACTCCAGTGTTTATGTAAATGGTATCAGGATGCCACATCATCCAGTAAGGTGACAGTTCAACTATTGTGTGTGAGTAAATGGTATCAGGAGGCCACATTATCCAGTAAGGTGACAGCTCAACTCCAGCATTTATGTAAATAATATCAGGAGGCCACATCAACCAGTAAGGTGACAGCTCAACTCTTCATTTAAGGCTTGTAGCATGATCGGCAGTCATGTACACAGCAATGTGTGGAGGTAATGAGCAGTAATTTACTTACACAGCAGTGTGTGGATGTCATGAGCAGTAACTTACTTACACAGCAGTGCATGCAAGATAATGAGAAGTAATTTACACAGCAGTGCATGCAAGGTAATAGCTCTTTGTGGTGCAGTGAGGTGAGTAATGTTTCTGAATAAAATTTTTAAATCATACTTTTTTTCAATATAAGACACAACAAAGATAAAAAAAACAACATATTCTGGAAAGATAACAATCACAATAGATTCTATTGTACTGAACAAGTGTAGCAAAAATATAATAGAACGTGTACTAAAATAATTTATGTATCATGAGTTCCTCAGTTGTCTTATTTTACATATACACATGTACCTCAAATTTTACTGAACAAATACACAAACAAAAATCTATAACTCATGAGCCAAAAACATATAATATTCTTTGCAATCAATATGGTTCATGTATAACTAAGAGTGGGAAGAGTTGCTTCCCTTTCATTAACACAAACTAAAAATCTACATGAAGCACCATTTTAGTATATCGGTGAAAATACTTTGTTTTACATGTTTCAAGGCTGCATCTGTAAAAGATTTGTTTGAATATTATATAATTGAAGTTTAAACTTTTCTTCAAAATAAAATTTGTTTAATAAACACTTTTAAAATATATTTTAAGTTAACATTTAACTTCTGATCAAACAAGCTACTTACTTAGAACAAAAAAATTAAAGTGGTATTGAGCATAGCTAATTAAATATAATTCCATTACGTTCTTACTTATAAATGCATTGTTTCAACAGTAAGGTAACTTCACTATTAACAATATTTTCAGCCATAAACCCAATAATATCTCACAAGATTTAGCCAGAGAATAAAATTATGGATTATACGAACTCATGATGCCCATGAATATGTCATCACAGATCTTAATCACATGAAGACAGCTTCAGTTCACTCAACACTCAAACATTAAACTTTTCACACCTGTTTCTGTACTATCAATCACACTTTTTCATAAATAAATTTAACTGTCTTTAGTATAATGAAATACTACTGACATTAACACAATACATTTTTTTCTGGCATAATTGTACATTTCATATTGTATTCCATTTCAACAACAGAACATCTAACATTTAATAATCACACAGCTACAGGTAATATGTGATCAGTAAGCACCATGAGTGAAAGCCCATTACTTTTACATGATACGTAGAACTGGGCAATAAGTGGAGCTCATTAATTGTCTAATCAATGGGCTCGTTAATCAATTATATTAAACTAATCAATTATTCTCAAATGAGACTTTGACAGTTACAATAACTGAAAATAGTAATAATGGAAAACACTAATTGATTAAGCCTAACGACCTTGAATTAATCAAAAGTAATAATGAGAAATCATAATGGCAATATTTTGATTACTTAATTATTTTCATGATTATCATTGATTTAATTGTACTTTTGACTAATAAATTATTTTAAGTAACACTAAGCAAAGTAACCAATGTTCATAGGTAATCAATTGTATCAATTAATTGAGTTAATCACACAGCTTTAATGACAAATAAAATGTCTAAATGATGCATGTGAGAGCATACACACTATTAAAATACACAAGCTTCATTAACATATATAGGGAATAAAGAGTTTGAAGGGTTAAACTGTTTTATAATAATATGTAAGGTTACTGACAATAAACCCTACAAACCCAATTAAACAGAAATACCAGTAAATATAACAATAGCCCTTCACAACTATTGCAACACACACACACATACACACACCTCTTCATCAATTAAACCATTCCAAAAACTTATAGCTCCAACAAAGAAACATAAAACAAAACTGGATCTGTACAGAGTATATTTACTGCTTTTAATATTCCAATTTTTATTTTTATTATTCTACTACTCCAACATTTATTTAGGGTAGCCATCTGAACAGCTCTAAAACAATAAACACTTGTTGGAGTTCTATAATCTTCAACATTTTCCTAAAGTCAGAAACTAAGGTTTTTAAAGCATTTATGCATCCAAGCAAAATAAGGAACAGACCAAGTTCTGTTCCTACCAGAAGTGGAACACATGTTGCTAGTGAACAAGGAACGGTTCTTAAAAATATGCAATAGGCAGTAGATGTACACACATATATATATATATATATATCCCACAGTGGGATTCATATTTACGGCTTATCTGGGTACAAACTGAAATCTATACACAACGGTTAAAAGCTGCTTTTTCTTATTTACATTAATTATATTGAATGCAGTATAATTAGTAAATTGGTAAGAGTGATAATGATGTTTAATTCTCATATACCACAAGATGTATTGAAGATGTCGAAATACTGCAAAATGACTTGGATCAATCTGTAAAGTTGAACAAATATTTGGCCAGTGACCTTTTGAATATAGTTTGTGTAAAGTAATGCATCTGGGTTATAACTTGGATCACCAGTTTGATAAATTAGGGATCCCATTTAATAGAATAACTTAAGAAAAGGATATTAGTGTAGTGGTGGGTAAATCACTCAGGATATTGAAGAAATATTCTGTTATTAGTATTAAAGCTAATAGAATTTTGGAGTGTATTTAGAGATATGTTGACTACAAGTGAAAAGAGCTAATTATCTCTATACAAATCACTAGGAGTCACTTAGAATAGTGCAAACAGTTTGATCTTCTAATGTAAAAATTGATACCGATTCACTAGAAAGAGCTCAGAGGAGGGTAATAACTAGGATGTATTGGAACAATAGGGTTATCCAAAAAGGATAAGATCTCTTATTTTCTATTGTGAAAAGTAAGTTAAGAATTCATCTTACAGAAGTTACAAGATTATCTTAGGAGTAAATATGATAGAGGTCTTTCAATTTCTTTGTGCTGTATTCTAAAGACAATAGGATGAAAGGACACAAGCTTAATATTTGGAAAAGATAGGCTAGGCCCCAGTTAAGACAGTTTTATTTTTCTAACAGGGTGAATTACTTATAGAATGAATTGCCACTGGCAGTTGTAGTGGCCAGCACTTGACAGGAGTTTAAGAGGAAAATTAAAGACTAACTGAAAAATTATGAGAGAATTTAAATTATTTCTTTTCTTAAGGACTGGTGTGCAAGGACAGACTTCAAGGACAAAATGGTCCTTTGTTGTCTATACAAGAATGCTATATTAAATAAAAGCTGATCAATAAACCTGCAGGTAATTCCCCAAACAGTCATCAACACTTTAATATTCTGGAACTCATGTGAAGTTGTAGCTTCTACGATTAAATATATTAGATAGAATTTGTTCCACAGACTTCCCACCTATTGGAGAAATAAAACTGACCTTTCAAAATCTTTAATTTACGTCTTCTCGTCCTACTGCCTTCAGAATTTAACAAGAGCAGTTCCAATACACTAACCTTATCAATTTCCTTAATAATTTGGGGTACTTTGATTGTATTAGCTCTAATTCTCCTCTTTTTCAAAAGAAAACAACTGAAGACAAAAATAATATGCTTCAGCTTTTGAAGCCCAAAGAATGGGTCCCTATACAGCCCCATCTCCTGACAAGTCAATATGAAGATTTGTGCAATGTTTTTATTGATATGGAGTGCATATTATGGGTATTGATTTCCACCAAAACTCAGTCATTTACATACAAACAGACTCAACTTTAACACCAAGAACAGGCATGTACCACCATAATATTTGCATACTATATGTAATAGGGCAAAAACATTATATAGGAAAATAAATGTCATATTAACACGTGCTCATGGTGTAAGGACAATAAATATGTCATCATGAATGCTGTAATACTTAGAAACTGTGACACTGAATATTCATGTATACTGTGACATCTACTATTCATTCTCTTCATTTGTCAAGATTGACCAACAGGCATGTCTAAGTGTGGAAAATGTGACAGCAGTCCACCTGCACAGGGTTTCTGGAAAATTTCAAGATCATATCACTGATGCAGCAGGGTGGAGTGGTAGGTCTGATGACACAGACAACTAAGATTCTAGTGACAACACAACATGATCATTGTGGATTTGTACATTTAACATCTCTACATACTCTTTCAAATCACATCAATAGTTTAAAGAACAAATATTTTTGATTTTGTGTACATGTTTTTCCCCAGTTTTTCCCTTAATAGCATCTGATAACTGTAAACAAAAGATGTTTTTGAAGTTGGTATCAATTGTGTTCCAGTGACTGAAATTCGTGGTAGGGCCCAAAAACAGTCCTTATGAAGACCCATCCTTTACACTTCTTCAACAAAAGGTACACTGTTTGGTTTAAGCTACAATCTTTTGCAATGTTCACCTGATGCTGTGGTGTTTCCATTTTAGAGTTCTTAGGAGTTTTTATTTCTTTTTGGTCCCAATGCTTTTAGGTATAGGGATATAAAGAGCTGCATTTAATTTGGTTTTGGTGTGCATGGGCTGGCTTAATGGTCTGAATACCTGTTGGTTACCTTGCTTTTTCTAATGTTCTTTAAAGTAAACTGCATTATATACAAGCATCACAATTTATTTTGGCTAAGTTTTAACATTAATAACTCTTAAGTGTGTTAGATCTAGAAAAATTCTGTATACTCACTTTTGGCTCATTTTTGATTCGCATGATCAACAACTAAAACTGTATTTTGATTTTTTTTAAATGATTCTGCTTTCAAAATGCTTTTAAAATCCAGAAATATATAGAATGTAATGATTAGTGATGTGCATTAGAAAAATGACACAAAATATTTTGTCATAATTTGAAAGAAGTGTAAGTCAATGTCCCCCAAATATGGTTTGAGGCCAGTAATTTTTTACTTTTAACAACAATGTATAGTCTTATGAAAATTTCCTTTCCTTAGATACAGTGTTTTTTCCCTCAATCATCTTTAATTTTTTCAAAGATTTAGAAAAAGGAAGACACTTCTCAACTTGGCTTGAAGAAACCATGAAAAGGTAGTCTGAAAATTCTAAAAACTTCAATCATCTCTATTTCACATATGTATATTAACAAGTTCATATCTTTAAACCCCCAAACAAAACTATTTTTTAAAAAATAAGATATCATTCTAGTACCCCATCTCTGCACTCTAACATGTGGACATTCTTCTAATGAAAAAACACAATACTTCTTCAAAAATTCTAACTTCATCACTTCTCTAACCCTAAATTGCCCTATATATCATAATATTTTACTTTCAAACACCCTTTCTTACATTTTTATTAATGTCAACTGGTTTTCTTAAAATTAAATGATTTGTTTAATGCCTTTCAAAGCTATTTGAAAATCAAGATAAACAACTTTAACCAAGGTGCCCTCACTCAAAAAAAGCAAGAATGCTATTATAATATAATAAAAAAACCTAAACTTTTGCCAATAACTTCATAAGATTGTAATTGCAGAGCCAAAAGTGTTATATTTATGAGAACCATAAGTTACAGTACTGAATTATTCATATAACAGTGCTATTCATTTAATAAAGCAGTTTGAGAATGCATGTCATTCTGACAGCTTTTTTTTGTACAGTTTAAAATTTTTCATAACATTGGACTTTATTTTTTCATTACTTTAATCTTGAAAATCACAAACTGCTAGAAAAAAATTAATGTATCAATAGGCATTGCATACACTGTTGACTGACTTAAGACCATTGAATATCATAGTTATTCTCTGGCATCACATTGGAAATATGAATGCAAGAAAAAGAAGGAGAGATGTTTTTTGGAAAAAATGAAGATAAAAATACTTTTGCAAATGTGCAAGCTGTCTTACTGGTAGAGTTTACAAATAACACGTTAAAGTAACAAAAAAATGTTAAACATGTATGAAAAAATGGTACACTTAATGTGTAAAACAAATGGGATGTACTTTCTTATACATTATAGTTTTCTTCCTGCTAGTGCCACAGTGCTCAAAGAAAAGAATTTTCGGCTTTCAAAATTTATGAGGTAATTAACTAGCAACTTACAGTCAAGGAAAACCAAGGCTACCTAAATTAAAATTAAAATAATTTTACCGTTACATTAGCAAAGTAAAACTAAAATTTTAATTGAGAAAAATAATTTTAGATATATAATAATATTAATAGTTTAATAATCATCATCATTAATTGTACTGTACATCACGTTAACGTGAAAGCTTGCAAATGTCATTATTAACATACTTATACTTAAAGTTAAATTCAAACAGTCAGATATTCATATTGTTAATGATATCACAATATACATAATTTACACCCTCAATCAGTCAGGGCCATTATAAATATCGTTATCAGTGTATTACTGCGTAAGTTCTACCTTACCTAGACGATTTTTGTTCAGTATTTCAACAAGTTTTAACTATTTTTATTGAACCAAAATAACTGTTTTTCTTAAAACCTGAACTGCAGATGTTGTTTAAGTTTTCATTTCCACAATTCTAGTATCTATTTTACCACTAACTCGTTTATTGACTAAACTCATCCAACGTTATTAATTTTGCACTGAACGATTGTAGTGCCATCTGTAATTGTGAAGTTCATTTCAATAATGGGCAGTGAAGTAAAAGTTACAATAGCACTGATAATAATTTTAATCACAGCTATATTTGCTGGTACGAAATGATTGAAATAGCAATTAATGTAGTACTTTGCATAGTATATTGCAAATGATCTAATGAGATTTTATATTACGCAAAAAGCCTCATTGGACAAAATATACACGTACAACAAAGTATAGTTGCTTATTTAAAGAACACATTATGTAAATCGACCAACAACGTCGCCTCCAGGGGCTCAGCGGAAAGTCTGAAGGTTTATAACGGTAAAACTGCGTTTCGGTACCTGTAATGGGCGCAGTGCAGATAGCCTACGTGTAGTTTGTGCTTATCTACAAACAAATAAGACAAAAACAATGTATAAGCATAATGATTATTTTTTCGTAATGAACGTACTACATATTTCAATGGAATATTAGTCTGTCCTCTTCAGAAACATTTAGTATGTTCTCAACATGAACTAATTTTTATTATGCTTATAAATCTTTGTTTGTCAAGTTACTATTAAACAAATAATAATGCGATTTAAACTGACTTAACGTTAAAAACAAACAAGCCCAAAATTTACGATAAATATCACGTTAGCTGCAGATGTCTCTTTTTTTATTTTATTTCTCTTAAATTGTTCAATGCAAATACAAAATAAAAGGCAACATTTTAGATATCTTTTTTGTTTTCTACAAGTCACAGCCCAAGAGTACTTTCGTTCATTATTAGAACTCGCCAGTTGGACTGGCAAAAGGGATATAAAAGACTCTCTGAAACAATTATAAAGCTTTGATAGATTGTTTAGGCAGAGTATTCATGATGAAACTTTGTTGAATGGGCTGGCAACTGCATGTTGCAGAGACACAAGTGTAGAGGACGACGTTTCCAAACAGAAATAAACCAACCAATCAAGACACGCTCTCCACAATCCACCAGAATACTACCGACTACACCATACACACACTGAACTGAAGACGAAAAGCTTTCGAACCGTCGTTTCATCAATCCTAAAGCTAAGCCCCCCCCCCAGTGGCACAGCGGTATGTCTGCGGACTTACAACGCTAGAATCCGGGTTTCGATACCCGTGGTGGGCAGAGCACAGATATCCCACTATGTAGCTTTGTGCTTAATTACAAACAAACCTAAAATGACTGGAGACGGCTTGAATGGGTAATAAAGAAAAACTTTAATATAAGTTTAACATAACAGCAAATGTACAACGTTTCGACAAGGTTTTGTCATCATCATTTGTCAGAAAATGTTTTATTATCTCCAGTCAAGGTTAATTAAAATCCATTTATTTGGGATACAAGGTCATGGAGCCGATGCGTACAAATAAATGAGATAACTCTCACAGGCGCATTTACCTCTCTCCCAGGTTGGATTAAGTCCACAGTTCCCCAAGCCTCTTGAAAGTTCTCACAATAGTTAACAACATTGGTTACTCCCCCCCCCCCTCCCCCATGAAGTTTGGTTGCAACCCTGATGACTCTAGCACAGTCGTAGACGACCCGCAGGTCGCAAGCGGCCTCTTAGCCTGATGTATACCCCGAGGCCCTCCTACATTATAAGAAAAATAACTTATCATAACAACACACTATAGTTTCCAAAAGTTAATGCTATCTATAAGTGATAACAACAGGTTAAGTTCAGGTGCATTAACACTAAAAAGTTATAATGTAATCTCTGACTATTTGTTTTTGTATATTGCATAGTAGATAGATAGACGTAAAGCTTGTTGCTAGGTGAACATCAATATGTTTCATATATAGCTCATTTTGTTTGTTCAAATGTAATATTTTTGTGATGGTGTATGAGGGCCGTACGCATTAGTTTAGTTTGCTCACCACTGCTATGTTATATTCCTTGATTATAACATTTTTATAATCATAATATAATCATGATGTTTAAAAATAAATAATGTTAAAATTAATGCCCTCTCAGATGTTTAAAAATTTCGGGTACTAAGTTTTTTTTTTTTTTTACAGCGGTTGTGTTGATGTATGTCATCATTGTTTTATTGTTAGTTTTAATATAATTGTCTGTACAAAGTTTACGGCCTCCTTGTAAAAGTTTGTAACGTGTGTATGTGTAAGAATAACAGGCTTAAAGGTTTGAACATATTTGTTTTAAATAATATGGATATCCGAAGTATTGTTGCATACTTAACACTAAACTTGTTAATTTGCCACTAGAGGTCACATCACACAAAATACTGTTAAATACTAAGAAGCTTATATTTCTTGAGAATATTGAAATCATGAGATTTAGTTATCCGATTCGATTTGGTCTGTCAACTCTAAGTTTACAGCCGAAATACGCACTTTAATAACCTTTGCAAGTAAGAACATAAAAATATATTTAATAAAATATATTCATTAATGGGTTTATATTTAGTTTTATTTTGACGTATGTAGGTAGCTTGCTCTGATTAGAAGCTAATATTGACCTTTACAGAATCACAAACGTGATAAAAATTTATCTTTTAGACCTGTACTATTGCTTTACCTTTAAAACGCTGTAGTGTCCTGTGATGGTCGATAACAAAGCGTGGTTTTATTTCCTAGAAAACGCGCCTCTTCTGCTCTCATCAGTGTTAATATCAGGAGCACGTTAGAAACATTATTTAAACCAAGACAGTAATTAGGTGTTTTTGTAAAAAGATTGTTCTCCAAGTAATCAAAAATAAAAAAATAAAGGTAAGCAAAAATATGTTAGATTTTATTACATTATCCCATTAAAAATCCATAATAAATACAAACAGCCAAAACTGTTATATTTCAAGCAAATAGAATACCCCCAAAATATAATGAATCTCTATAAATATAATAATTATGAAGGTTTATTGGGTCCATGCGGAGATACATGCATACTTGCGGTTTCACATTTTGTGTTTTGCAGTCTTTATGGGCGTTTTTTACAATTACAACTTTTCATGTCCTAAGATAACCTTTCATTAATCATGAATTTACATAACTTCCGCCCAGGAGCCAGATACTACAGCT